ATGTCTGGAACCAAAGCAATTCATTACACCCACGGTGAAACAAATAACATATGCCACGCAACCCGATAGGTCATAAACAATACTCCATTTACCGAGCAACACCCAATTACTCTTCCCGCTCGACTTTCACTATGAATCCCTCATAGAACCGCACCACATGTGCCCATAACCAACAAATCATAACGTCTCACAACACCGAAAAGCAACAGATAGCTCTCCTCAGATCACTAACAAGCTCAATAACGATTGAATCAACCTATCCCTCAATAATACAATTCGGGGCCAACCAAGCCAACTCAAGCTAAACACGTATCCACATCGGCCTACCAACGAACTCATTACCAAGAAAGCCTGAAGCTGCTCCTTCCACTACTATAACTCCTGCCAGAGCCGTACGATATGGTGCCCGACACCAAATCAATATCGAAATCCACAACCTCGCCCGGCGACATGCCCGGCCACAAGAAACGCATCCGAAAAGTCCCTTAACACCGGAACGGAACCAATGGTAGGAACCTCTGCACTGACATCCATCATGAAGGCCTAATTAAGAAAAGCAATCCTTCCCAGCCGTCCGCCGGGTCTTTGAAATATAAACCACTCTGCAAGAACATAATCCAATGCACCTGGCCACTCAACCCGTGGCATTTCCGGCATAGCCCGCAGCGCAATAGTTCAGCATCACCTAACACTAAGACAACCAGTATGAATTTCAACATCACATCCAAACTCTAACATACCAGCAAATAAAGATCCACTCGAGCCTCCAAATCCCGATTGCAACTAAACTGTGCCGAATACACACGATCCACAACCACGACATACCCTGTACATGAGAACTCCCAGTCTCCAACTCCATATAGCACACGAATTTTTGCCGTCCGAACGCATACCACACCTTAAATACCCCATCACTCCACGATAGATACTTTAAAATTTCCTGTGCCACCAAGCAAACCCGAATACCACCGGTTAATCCAATAAGAAAATGTCGCAATACTACCGAAGTATCATCAGTTTAGTCACATTACCCTTTTTCTGAGACATATACTCTCGTCAAATCGCTTCCAATTAGCAGCACCATTTCCTTGATTATCTGAGGCTACCCGTTGCCTAAGAGTTTTATGAACTTCTTTTCGGAACTGAACTGAAACCTCGTACACGCAAATCTCGATCCTCCACAACATACCGCATATTACCATCCAAGGATAGCAGGAAAACTTTTATCTCCCTTCCGAGCCACAGACATCTACGCACTCAACTTGTCAAGAACTTCCATTGATCCCATCTAGAAGAAAAATCATTACACATTCCATGTCTCTCATATTCGTAGAAAATGCACTTCTTCAACCACGGTAGAAATCAACAAGAACTCTCTCAATTCCGTTTGCATAAATTAAACTGCCAGGACGGAATCCTTCTAACTCGACCAAGCTAGGCAAGCCATCAAAACCCAAGAGCATTGCTGCAAAATACTTGTAAGGGCTCATTACCTCGAACACATACGAAGAATTAATCATATCCTTACCATCCCGATTGGGTCTACTATCAAGCTATTCCATCTATCTAATTTCCCTTCTGATTCATCATCAACTTGATATTCCCCCTTGCTGTAGCACCACAGTTCCTCAACCCAGGCTCACTACACGAGACCCAAGCACAAGAACACACTGTCTAAGACCCATAAGCCACTGAATCCTCTCTCAAATATTCCCAGAAACACCACATTCCAAAATACTTTACTCTGAAGAACTTCCTGCGAATCTAAATCTGTTACCTTTACTTTCCAGATACTGATACATAGAATCCCATAATTAACATAAAAATACCACAAGTCTTGACCCTTTTTCTAATGAAAACACAGTCTCTAACCACATACACAACCTTAAGACACCTGATTGTTACATGTAGAATCTTGAACACATTAAAACCATTCTCGAGAGTCATTTACTTCTTATTCAAACTGCAATTCACCTGATCAGACGAACATAACCACCCATGCCTCATTAGCACTCTAACACCGCATGATATGACCTCATCCCAATACAAACAAACATCTTCCTGCTCCATGCACTGAGCATTCTTTACCAACAACAGCTTAAGACATCCTGTGATTCTCACACATCTACGAAGCACCATATAACCTTTGTCAAAATTTTGCTTCACTCGTGCCATCCTCGGCTCAATTTCCGCAACCAGAACTGATTCGCCAGCATGCCTCTAACCGGAACCAACATAGCACATAACCGTACAATTAGCTAATCAATAGCAAACTCCCCAACTTGGCTCGAAGCCATAGATCAAAACACTCCCAACAACTCATAACGCACATACTCCATTGCTGCCTTAATACCATAGTGAGATTAAACTCAATACTTCATAAGCTTGTGGAAAACACAAATCATCTAGAATTTTTTTTTTTTTGCAAATCTCGCATTCACTCACACAACAGTTAAGCCCACTCTCTAGGCGATCCAATTTAGATGTCAACCCATTTTCTTCACTTGTAAATGAGATCTTCTAATAGATAACATAAGGATCACACAATTTTAGAACACTCCGCAAGAGATGACCCACCTGCTTTGCCTCCAACTACCATTTATGTATACCCTCCATCGTCCTAAACTGTACGTAGTCGCTTAGTCTTCTTGAGTCTGAACTCATACCGCAACATAAACTCACAGAGATTACATCTCGCCCCTCGATCGGGGAATCACAAGCCATCGAGGCACATCTGATACTGAGCGCTCACGCGCGCGTACGAACACGTGGAAGGAATTTCAAGAGTTTCTTTTCAAGCTGAATCAAGGACGCACGGTAAGAATTCAAGAATGTGAAGTTTTCCTAAAGGTTCTGCAGCCTCTCGAGGATAGATACAGACGTCTCCGTACCGATCCGCGAGACTCTACTAAACCTGCTCATGACTCGTGAGACCTAGTAACCTAGGCTCTGATACCAACTTGTCACGACCCAAACCCCGCTCCGATCGTGATGGCGCCTCTCGTGAAGACAAGGCCATCCAGACCATTTTAGAACACCACTTTTAAGCAATTAAATAGTTCAAACATGATTTAATGATATTAATTAACAAAATTACAACCCAACACAGCCCAAATCGGGGTGTCAGAGGTCACGAGCATCTAGAAGGATTTTAATACAACTACAAGTCCTGTAATATATAGAATAGAATTTAGAATCAAAAGGAAGCAATCCGGTGTCGCAAACGCTGGCGGTCACCTGACTCAGCTACGATAACAAAATCTCTAATCATCTCAAAACCCGCTACCGGTGATCAAATACTTGCATCTGCACACGAGGTGCAGGGAGTAAAGTGAGTACTCCCACTCAGTGAGTAATAAGGGCAAATAACAACTGGGCAGTAAGAAATCACGTAAAGTAAGCCATCATGCTATATAGGAGCAGTGTAAACCCTTTGAGAAAACAGTGAATCTGTGAAATCTTTAGAAATATCTTGGCTCAGTTTAAAACCTCTTTTGAAATATCTTTTTCCAACAGTTAAGCAAATGAATGTGAAACAAGTAGTGCAAGCAAGCACAAAAGTCAGCCCCTCGGGCACAACACTCCGTTAACAGATAACGCCACGATATCAGGTAATTATTGCAAGGAGTAGCATAAAAGCCAATGAAATAAGAGTGCAGAAATATTATGACAGATAATACAAATAAGAACAAATGCATAAGTGCAATGCAATGCATATGGCGGTACACTCTGGTACCCACTGCGGCGTGCAGCCCGAGCCATCCATTTATTTATCGTCGACGGCGCTCACTGGGGGTATTACAGACTCCGGAGGGGCTCCTACAGACCAAGCGCAATATCAAGCCATCTCGTGGCATCAACCAGGCTCTCGGCCTCAATATCAATATAATCATCCAGGCTCTCGGCCTCAAGATCAATGTAATCAACCAGGCTCTCGGCCTCAATATCAATATAACACTACTGCGGCGCGCAGCCCGATCCATGCTCAGTCCAGAAATGCACATAAGCCTCTTGGGCAATATTAAAATAATAGTTCTCAGCTCAAAACGTCAATAAAATATTGTTTAAGTTTTCAAATCTTAGAAAGATGGCTGAGTTTGCGAAAATAGTATTTAAAACCTTGGACCGAGATCAAATAATATGCAAAAATAATGCGAAAACAGTGATATCAATCCCAGAAGGATTCAAATAATTGGCACAAATCCAAAATATGGCAATCAGCCCAAATTATGATGATAACAAGTAGTTTCAGTCAAATACGCAGTAATTTCATCAATCGGGACAGACCAAGTCACAATCCCCAACGGTGCTCTACCCCACGCTCGCTATCCGGCGTGCAAGTCACCTCAATACAGCACTATGATGTGCAAATCCGGTGTTTCAAACCCTCAGACTATCATTTACAATCATTACTCACCTCGAACTGGCGAAATCTCTAGCTCGCGACGCCTTTGCTCCTCAAATCGGCCTCCACGCGCGTCGAATCTATCCAAAATCAGAGCGAATACATCACAATATGCCAATGGGACATTACCCAATCGAAAATAATCGAAAAATAGCAAGAATCTCGAAATTTGCAATACCCGAGCCCCGAGCCCACTTCTCGAAAAATCAGAAAATTAACATCATCGGATTCCTTATCTCGCCACGAGTATATACATACCAAAAACTCACAATTCGGGCCACAAATGGCCCCTCAAATTCCAATTTAAAGTCTTAAAATCTCAGGCCCTAGTTTCTTCCAATTTAGAAAAATTCTCAAGAATTTCAAGGATAATTCCACAATATAATTGTGTTTTTAACTCATAAAACTTACGTCCAGTCAATCTCCTTCGAATCCCTCTTCAAATGCTCCCAAGTAGCTCCCAAAATGCTCAAAAATGGTGGAAAATGCGTTTGGGTTCGCGGATGAAATGTTATTTTAAACCCTTCTGCCCAGGCCTCATTTCCGCTTCTGCGATACATTTACCGCTTATGCGGTTCTTTTCCCGCTTCTGGAACTATACAGTTGCCTCCAGGTCCGCTTCTGCGGTCCACCGCTTCTGCGAATGCCGCATATGCGGACAACCATCCGCTTCTGCGGAAGTCCTCCCATGATCAGACTTTCGCACCTGCGACGCCCTCATCGCATCTGCGGAGCCGCCTCTGCGGCCCTTTTTCCGCAGATGCGGAAATACCAGATATAAGCCCATCAGCTATTCAAAATTCCAAAATCCATCCCGATGACCATCCAAAATCACCCCGAGGCCCCCGGGACCTCAACCAAAAGTGCAAACCCATCCTAAAATATCATTCAAACTTGCTCCAATCATCAAAACACCAAAAACAACACCAAAACTATCAAATTACATCAAATTCAAGCCTAAGTTCTTCAAAAACTTCCAAAACACGCATTCGATCAAAAACCCGACCAAAACACCTCCGAATGACCTGAAATTTTACACACATATCCAAAATCACCTAACGAAGCTAAAGCAACTCTCAGAATTCCATTCCGTCCCTCGGATCAAAATCTCACCTATCAACCGGAAATCGCCAAAATACTAACTTTGCCAATTCAAGCCTAATTCTACACCGGACCTCCAAAATTACTTCCGATCGCACTCCTAAGTCACGAATCATCCCCCGAAGCTAACCGAATCGCCGGAAATCACATCCGATCCTTCTGACTCATAAGTCAACATCCGGTTGACTTTTCCAATCCAAACCTTCCTTAAAGAGACTAAGTGTCTCATTTTCTACCAAAACCAATCCAAATCAACTCTAACATACCAAATACTGATAATGAAACATGAAGAAGCATAAAATGGGGGAAACGGGGCGGTAACTCCTGAGACGACGGGTCGGGTCGTCACACAAGAAGCAAAAATTCTTCTTTAAAAAGTTGGAGAGAAGCAGTTAAAAAATAATAATTTAGGAGCTAGTGACAGGTGCATCAGCAATTGAATTTTATCATCTACAATAATTTATATGTACACAATCCATATCAGATAAAATATATAAAATGGTGCAAGAGCACGTTATATAATTTATTGCTAGACTATGTATAAGTCTTTTATCCTATTTCTTTTAATAAGGATATGCTGACAATCAAATTTTACACCAAAATATACCAAAGAAGAACATTACAAGATATATAATAAATCTACAATGTGATATACATCCTCTACCAAGCGCTTGATCTAGCTGTAGAATCTTTCCAACAATGGAACCTCCTTCATGGAAAGACGTTCACGAGGATCTCCCATTTGCATCTTACAAATAAGCTCCTTTACTACTTCTAAAACTTTTAGCGTAGGAAGAAACTGTAGTTCCACTTTCAGAATCCTCTCACGTAATTTCGTGAGTTTGTTTATATTAATGGTTCTTTCTACTGTAAATAATGGTACCTCATATAGAAGTTCATAGAAGAAGACACATGTAACGACTCGGCCGGTTGTTTTAAGAGTATTAGCCCCGATTCCCTATTTACTGCTTTTCCCGTATCTTATTTTGCTTATGTGACTTGCCAGAAAGTTTAGTTCATGGTTTTGGAGTGGAATGGGACACTTAGTCCCTAAAACATAAGCTTAAGTTCTAGGATTTTGACCGTAGTTGGAACTGTATGAAGACGACTCCGGAATGGAGTTTCGTCAATTCTTTTAGCTTTATTGGGTGATTTTGGACATAGGAGCATGTCCGGATTGTGAATTGGAGGTCTGTAGCTGACTTATGCTTGAAATGGTGAAAGTTGAATTTTTTGGGAAGTTTGACCGGAAGTGGACTTTTTGATATTAGGGTCGGTTTACGATTCCAGAAGTTTGAATAGGTCCGTAATGTCAAATATGACTTGTGTGTAAAATTTGAGGTCAATCAGACGTGATTTGATAGGTTTCGGCATCGGTTGTAAAAGTTTGAAGTTTCAAAGTTCATTATGTTTGAATTGGAGTGTGATCCGTATTTTTGTGTTGTTTGATATGATTTGAAGTCTCTACTAAGTTCGTATGATGATTTAGGACTTGTTGGTATGTTTGGTTGAGGTCCCAGGGGCCTCGGGTGGATTCTGGGTGGTTAACGGACTAATTTTGGACTTGTTGGATTTTCAGAAAAATCTGGTGTATCAGTTGTTGGTTTCCTTCATCGCGCTCGCGAGAGAGGACTCGCATTCGCGTAGGGTATCTGTAAGTCCAGCTGAGTTTCGCCCTTCGCGTTCGCGGAGCACTGGAGCTTTGGGTCTACGCATTCGCGATTAGGACCTCGCTTTCCCGTAGAGGAATGGGCAGAGAGGGTTACAGGCAATTAGTCTACGCGTTTGCGATGAGGGTCCCGCATTCGCGTAGGGTCAGACTGTGTGAGCTTCCACGTTTGCGAGTGGATTCTTGCGTTCGCCGAAGGAGGTTTTTGGGCTGAAGGAAATTTAATGCTTCGCAAACGCGAGGGTGTTTCCGCGTTCGCGAAGAAGGAATGTCTGGGCAGTTATAAATATTTCAAAAATGAGGGTTTGCTATTTTTATCAAAACTTGAGATAGAGAGCTCGAATTTGGATGAAATTTTGAGGGATTTTCAGAGGCATCGATTGGGTAATGATTCTTCACTTGTTTTTTGTTATATCCCACTAATCTATCATTAATTTCACCTTCTAATTTAAGATTTGAATTGAGAAATTTGGGGAAAAGTTCTTCAACCAAATTTTTGGGTTTTGATTGAGATTTTGACATCAGATTCGAGTAATTTTGGTACGAGTGAACTCGTGGATGAATGGGTATTCGTATTGTGACTTTTACCTAGACGTAGGCCCAGATCGACTTTTTGGGGGCAATTTTCTAATTTTTTGTTAAAATCTTTATTTCATTAATTAGATTAGTTTCTTATAGTTATATTTATGGTATGTATTGCTTTTGGATAGATTTGGGCCATTCGGAGTCAGAAAATTAAGGAAAGGGCATTCTTACTGATTGATTGAACTTGGTCCGAAGTAAGTGGCTTGCCTAACCTTGTGTGGGAGAAATCTCCTTAGGATTTGGTACTGTTTTGATACTTCTGTGATATGTGAGCACCGTGTACGCGAGGTGATGAGTGCGTACACGGGCTAATTATTGCAAAATCTGATTTATACTGAGTAGTAACCTGTTACATCTTAATTGAGTTATACCATCATGTGTACTTATCATGGTTAGCCTAATATCACATGTCTACATGTCTTAAATCCTTATTGTAAATCTGTGCACCATGCTTAATTAGATTCCTGTTTTTTCCTTAATTTGTATCAGTCTTAACTGTAGAGTTCTTATTGTTAATTGTTGTTTCCATCGGTTTCGAGCTATGTGTTTACTTTTGGGACTACGAGGCGGTACCTCGGGAGATCCCCTACATATTTACTTTTGGGACTGTGAGGAGGTACATCGGGAGATCCCCTTGCACATTTACTTTTGAGACTACAAGGTGGTACCTCGAGAGATATCCTCGCATATTTACTTTTGGGACTACGAGACGGTATCTCGAGAGATCCCTTGTTGAGCATTTACTTTTGGGACTACGAGATGGTATCTCGGGAGCGCCCCTATTGTTTATCACTATGTGTTGTGTTGTTATTTTGTGTAGAATTCCCCTTGTTAGATTATCAGTCTTTTCACATTATTATATATTTTGTCTTATTTATTATATACCAGTAGAGCCTTGACCCTACCTCGTCACAACTCTACCGAGGTTAGGCTTGGCACTTATTGGGTACCGTTATGGTTTATTCATGCTACTCTTCTGCACATATTTTGTGTGCAGATCTAGGTACCTCTTACCAGCCCCGCTATTTGTTGCGTACTTGTTGCTGCTCCGGAGACTTCAAGTTATATCTGGCAGCATCCGCAGACCTCGTAGTCCCTCTCTATCCCTTTTATGTTGTTCCTTCTTTATTTCTTCTAGTTGCCGATGTATATAATCAGTTAGACAAATTCATAGAGCTTGTGACTACCGGGATTTGGGGAATACTGTGTATACTCGAGTGCTGGTTTACTTGTACATGCCGAGTGACATTTTATTAGTGATATAGTTATCTGTTACAGTTTTATTGTTAAATTCTGCTTTTATTTCCGTTATTCCGCAAATTGTTAGGCTTACCTAGTCGTAGAGACGAGGTGCCGTCACGACATCTTACGGAGGGAGATTTGGGTTGTGACTGTCAAGACACCAAATTTTGACATTTTTGTCATACTCCCGACTAACATCTTCCATCTTCTCAGGTGGTAAATAGTATGTTTTGCCACAAGCAGGACGACTTTTTCCTTTGACAGTGCGGACACGCCAAGAAAAGATTGCAATTCTAAGAATACCCTCTGCATCCAACCAAAGATTTTCTGGGAAAATACGTCTATGTATCATAGTCTTCTTGTGACAGTATATAAGGCCTTTTGCGACTGATGCAACATATCTTGCGGCAAGCTTTTCCCCAAAACATTTTCCTTCTTTCATCTTAGTCATAGGGACAACTAATGAAAACATTATCTAGCTCCAAATAATAGTATTCCTTATCTTCGAAGCCAGCATGAAGTGCCACGATATTTTCATGTTGAAGGTGGTTGTGATTGTCAACCTCACGACGTAACTAATACATAAGATTAGACTCCTCCACTCGCTTCTTCGACGCTTTCTTTATTACGTAATTTATCGATCTTTTCTTCCCGCGTGAAAAATAATGTTCCTTTTTAAAGGACTTTAAGGATCCTAAAGTCCTCGACTGTCCACTTCTTAGGGCCCTCATAAGAACCCTGCTGAATTTTCAAAGAAATATTGGACGAAGAAGCCATGATGCTCTTGTGTATAAACAAAGAGCTAAAAATTGAAGATCTAAAAAATGTCGAGGGATGTAGCTTGAACTTGAGAATGACCAGCTGGAGTTCAGACAACTGAATCAGATCGAGGAGATAAAGTAGATGGGGTAAAGACTCGACAAATCTAGATTGTTTCTTTGATTTTTTATTTTGGTTTTTGTTATTTTTTGGAGTTTTTGCAGTATTCTTACCGGACATAAAGTTTTTAACTTCTCATAATAATAATATTATTTATATTGATAATGATTAATTTATGTTAATAAGATGAAAAGCAATAACAATAACCTATAAATAAGGCCCAACACAATGAAAGGATTAGTGATACAATAAAAAAAAAATTGCGGCACTGCATTTTATTTCTATTCTAGTATATTTTCTTGGTCATTCAAAAAGCAACAAGGTGTTGCTTTGTCAACAGCTGAAGTAAAGTATATAGCAACAAGTAGTGCTACACAAGCATTATAGTTAAGAAGGATGATTCGATTTCATTAACACAAGCAAGACAGTCTTATAAAAATATCTTATGATAGGCAATTGATTTAACAAAGAATTCAATAATTCATGAGCATCACATTAGACACAAATTTTACTTTATTCGTGACCCGGTTCAAGACAAGGATATAATTATTAGTTATTGCAAGACTAAAGAGCGGGTAGTTAATGTTTTTCCGAAGCCACTAAAATTAGAGTTATTTCTTCTATAAAGACTTTGCTGAAAAATTTCACTTATGCCCATCTTGATTTCTGAGATATTTCAATCCTTCAAGTTTGTATCAGAGCAGAATTCTAAAGAGCATTCGGAGATTTATAACAAAATATTTTTTCTTATATTAGTATTAGAACTTCTAAGATCTTGGTAGAAACTCATATCGCTTTGGCTATCAGCGGGCATCGTTAGTGTCACAACCCGGATTTTTCCACCATCGGGAGTCGTGATGGAGCCTACTAACGGAGCTAGGCCAGCCAAACTTTAAACATTCTCTGACAATTTCTCAACAATATAAATATACGAAAACAGTTAAATAAAAGTGGAAGACTTTAAGTTTATATAACTGAAAACGAAATGCGGAAGTTTAAAAACAAATCCCTACCCAGAGTCTGGTGTCACTAGCTCACGAACTACTAAAGAGTGCTACAATCAAAGTCTGAATAAGAATACAGTACTGTCTGATCCGATACAAGGGAAAATCAAACGAAAGACAGAGATAAGAGAGACTCCGGGCCATGCGGACGCCAGCAAGGCTACCTCGGGAATCTCCGGACTGAAGTAAGCTCCCAACGCTCCTACTGCTGAGGTCCAAAAGCTGCTCCGGTACCGTAATCTGTGCAAAAAGCACAGAAGTGTAGTATCAGCACAACCGACCCCATGTGCTGGTAAGTGCCTGGCCTAACCCCGGCGAAGTAGTGACGAGACTAGACAGGACCTACCAAAAACAACCTGTACAGATATATATATACAAAGGCAACGGAAATAACAACAGAGAACATCAACTAAAAAGGGGAAGGGGGCATGCTCGGGGAAAATACAGTGAATACAGGTCAACGGATATAACGACGAAACTACCTCAATACCATGGCTCATATATAAGTGGTCGGCGCGCCACACGATCCCATTTCTTAATTCATAAGTGGACGGCGTGCCACACGATCCCATTTCATTATATATATAAGTGGTCGGTGTGCCACATGATCCCATTTTATAATATATAAGTGGTCGGCGTGCCACACGATCCCATTTTATAATATATAAGTGGTCGGCGTGCCACACGATCCCATTTCATAGTGAATAATACATATAATCTTTCTAAAGGAGGCCCCATTAGGGGAAATTCAACAACATAACAATTTAACCCGGCAAGGGTACAACTAACAGCCCAAATATCCCGGCAAGGGAACAACAACAATCACAGACTCGTCCCGGCAAGGGAAAAATCACAACACTTCCTCTTTCAATCACTTCCTACTCATAATCATTCTAATTCGAGACAACAATCCAAGAATATACAAATCACAATTCCTCCTCAACCATTCACATTATAGGAAACTAGCAATTAGACAAGAAAAGTCTCACAAAGTCCGGGTCAAACACATTTAAGACCCACAGTCATGCTAGACTCCGGTGTATGGATAACCGTCACCATGCCTATACACCGTACTCTTCATTTAGCAATTAGCAAATAATATTCTAATCCTATTCTCTCTAACCAAAGTTAGATCAAACACTTACCTCGGTCCAAGAATAGCAATCAACTCTCCAATACCGCCTTTCCTCTACNAGTTCACCTTCCACCAAGCCAAGATATCAAAGTCCGGTCTTTCATTTTTAGGATCTTCTTCAAGATACTTTTCCAATTCTGTTTTAGAATCTACACCTCCACTTGCAGCTTTATGTTTCCTTATTTCATCTAAAAGTTCACCTAAACCAGGAGTTGAAGTTTCCATTGTGCTGAATGAAGAGCTTGGCAAAGAGGTAGAAACTTTACCACCAGTATCTTTTGAAACCGACTTAGAGACATACTCATTAAACAATGAACTCATATAAGTATGAACCTCTTTTTCAATAATTGTCCCTTCATCTGCAAACATCTTCTTAAGTACAAAACTAACAGTAGTAAACTTGTAGCGAGGATCCAAAACACAAGCAATGAAAATTATTTTGTTCATTTTTTTTTGGTTCACTCCAATACTTCTCAAATTTTTTCCACATACTTGGTGCCATCTCACTCAAAAGTTCATCTTCAGTTGTTATTAATCGATTTAAGTAAATAGCAACTTGACCAATTTCAAGAAAATGGGCATTTGATGTTACATAAAGTGATCTGGATACCTTCAAAGTGAGATTATAAAATATTTCAAGAAATTGTGCAATTCTCTTTACATCATCCCAATCAGTTCTTGTAAGCATACCTACAAGCTTTCCATCTCAAATAGCATCAAACATAAGATAATTGTCACGACCCCAACCCCGGTCGTGATGGCGCCCAACACACTGCTAGGCAAGCTCGACCAATTCAACAACCTTAACCCTTTTTATACAGTTCATGATTCAATTAACACAAATAATTACTAAGTCATAATACTGAAACTCTAAAATATAATTAAAACATGCGGAAAACCCAAGTAGAAATACTACTACACAGCCCGAAGAATCCGGTGTCACAAGTCTGAGCCTCTAATACATGAGTATCAACCTACTACATATTGTTCTCTAGAAATGCGGAAATAAAGTAAATGAGATAGAACGAAGATCAGGACTGCGAACGTCAAATGCAGCTACCTTGAAACTCCCAAATATGATGTTAGGCAGAGAAGTCCTCACTCAGCCTCAGTAGTACCGGGATCTGCATGCAAGGTGCAGGGAGTAATGTGAGTACTCCGACCCAGTGAGTAATAAACATAAATAAAGGCTGAGAATAAGAAATCCTGAATAGCACAATGTAATTCTATAAATACAGCCACTTGAACCCAGTAGCATAAAATCAGTAAATCAGTGAAAACAATTATAGAAATATCACAACAGATAAATAAGTAAATGACAATCAAGTATGCAATGCAACACACAGACCGGTACTCTCCAGTACCCGCTGCGGCGTGCAGCCCGCTCCATTTATTTATCGTCGACGGTGCTCACTGGGGGTGTGCAGACTCCGGGAGGGGCCCCTTACGGCCCAAGCGCAATAATAAGCCATCCCGTGGCATCAACTAGGCTCTCGGCCTCATATCAATATCAATATCATACCACTGCGGCGCGCAGACCGATCCCATACTCAGTCCAAAATCACATAAGCCTCTCGGGCACAATAATATAAAAATATTCAGCCCAAACTTCATTTGCAATGTTAATTAAGTTTTTAGTTTGAGAAAAGTGGCTGAGTTTGCAAAACAGTATTAAATTCTAGGACTGAGTTCAATGATATGTAGAAATGGTAAGAAACCAGTATTAACAATCCCTGAAGGATTTAATCAATTGGCACGAAGCCCAAATATAGCAATCAGCTCAATTAAAATAATAATAAATAAATTTCAGTCAAACACGTAGTATATTCATCTACCGGGACGGACCAAGTCACAATCCCAACGATGCTCTACCCCACGCTCGCTACCCGGCGTGCAAGTCACCTTAATATAGCACTACGATGTGCAAACTCGGGGTTTCAAACCCTCAGAACAGCATTTACATCTATCACTCACCTCAAGCCGACCAAAATCTAGCTCTCTATGCCCTTGCCTCTCAAATTGACCTCCTCGTGCGTCGAATCTGATCAATACATCACAATATGCTAATGAAACAATACCCAAGAGAAAACAATCGAAAAATAGCTGAAATCTCAAAATTAGCTAAACCCGAGCCCCACGCCCACTTCTCGAAAATCAGAAAATTTAACATCAACGGATTCCTTATCTCGCCACGAGTCTATACATATAAAGATTACCAAAATAGGAGTCCAAATAACCCCTCAAATCCCCATTTTAACTCTCTTAAATTTCAAGCTCTAAACCACCATTTTAACTCCTTAATTCCTTGGTTTTTCAGTCTAAATTCATGTAATAACACCATAGAATTGTGTTTTAGACTCAGAAATCCTTACCTCAAAGAAGTCCCTTGATTTCTCTCTTCCAACTCGCCCAAATTCTCCACGC